TGCCCCTCTCATCTGAAACCATGCTCTCTAGTTTTGGACTCCCTCACCCCAGGGAAAAGACCTTGTTTATCACCCCATCCATGCTGCTCATAATTTTATAAACTTCTGTCAGGTCACCCGTCGGCCTCTGATGCTCCAGGGAAAATAGCTCCAGCCTATTCAGCCTCTCCCTATAGCTCAAACCCTCCAACCCTGGCAACTTCCTTGTTAATCTTGAACCCTTTGAAGTTTCACAACATCCTTCCTATAGCAAGGAGACCAGAATTGCACACAGTATGCCAAAAGTGGCCTAACCAATCTCCTGTAGACCTGCAACTTGACCTCCTAACTCCTTTACTCAATGCACTGACCAATAAAGGCAACTGTACCAAACGCCTTCTTCACTATCCTATCTATCTGCTACTCCACTTTCAAGAAACAATGAACCTGCACTCCAAGGTCTCTTTGTTCAGCAACACTCCTCAGGACCTTACCATTAAGTGTATAAGTCCTGCCCTGAATTGCCTTTCCAAAATGTATCATCTCATATTTATCTAAACTCCATCTTCCATTCCTCAGCCCATCTGCCCATCTGGTCAAGATCCCATTATACTCTTAGGTAACCTTCTTTGCTGTCCACAATGCCTCCAATCCTTGTGTCACACTGTTAATCACAGGCCTCCAATCTGAAAAGCAACCCTCCACCACCACCCTCTGTCTTCTCCTTTGAGGCAGTTCTGTATTCCATCTGAAATAACCTTAATAACCAATCTACCATGAGGAACCCTGTTGGATGCCTTACGAAAGTCCATATAGATCATGTACACTGCTCTGCCCTCATCAATCCTCTTCATTGCATCCTCAAAACATTCAATCAAGTTAGTGAGACATGAGTTCCCATGCACAAAGCTATGTTGGTTACCCCTAATCAGTCCTTGCCTTTCCAAATAGATGTAAATCCCTCCAACAACTTTCCCACCACCAATGTCAGTCTCACAGGTCTATAATTTTCTGGTTTCTCCTCACCACCTTTCTTAAGCAGTGGCACCACATTAGCCACCCTCCAGTCTTCCAGCACCTCACCTGTGGCTATCAATAACACAAATATCTCAGCAAGGGGCCCAGCAATCACTTCCCTAGTGCAAACTTACTAACCATACTTTCTATATTCTCATCTTAATCATTTATATAAATGACAAACAAAAAAGTGGACCCAGTACCGATCCCTGTGGAACACTGTTGGTCACAGGCCTCCAATCCAAAAAACAACTGTCCACCATCACTATCTTTCTCCTGCCGTTAAGCCAATTTTGTATCCTATTCACTAGTCCACTCTGAATCCATGTGATCAAAGTTTACTAATTAGTCTACCAAACAGAACCTTGTCAAAGGCTTTACTAAAGTCCAAGTAAACAATGTCTACCACTCTGCCCTCATCAATCTTCTTGGGTACTTCCTCCAAAATTCAATCAAATTTGTGAGACATGCTTTCTCTCGCAAAGAAAAACCATCCTGACTATCATACACGTGTGATCTCCAGACAGTTGCAGACCTAAAGGTCAGACAAGCCTCTCAGTTAACAGGAGTATAGTCTTACCTTCAAATAAAGATCCCACATTATTGTTCTATGAGTTCTGTTGTGCAATTTGTGTATTTGTGCTAAATAGAAAAATGCAATGCATTCTACTAGAATCACATGTAATATTCTCAGTTCATGGTTTTGAAATGTCCTCTTCAATCTCATCTTGTCTCTGAGGTGTGATGGGAGCTGGAGGTAAGTGCAAGGGGAGGTGGAGGGGATGAAAGGGCAAATCAACCACAGCACCAAGGTGCAGAATGTGAACATGCACTCAAAGCTCATTCATTTCATAGTTCATACAGTGCAGAAAAGGCCTTTCAGCGCATTGAGTCTGCACTGACATAACTACCACTCAAAGTGCGCTAGTCCCAATTTCCTGCACTTTCCCCATATCCTCGAATGTTATGATATTTCAAGTGCTTATCCAAATATCTTTAAAGGTTGTAAGGTTTCTCACCTCCACTACCTTCCCAGGCAGTGCTTTCCAGATTCCCACAACCTGCTGAGTTGCTCCTTACCCTAAAACTATGCCCCCTTGTAATTCACCCCTCAACCAAGGGGAACAGCTGTTCTCTATTCACCCTGTCCACTCCCCTCATCATCTTATACACATCAATCATGTCCCCTGTCAGTCTTCTCTCCTTGTAAAGAAAACAATCCAAGTCTATCTAGTCTCTCCTTATAGCTCAATTTCTCTATCCCAGGCAACATCCTGGTGAACCTCCTCTGTACCACCTCTAGTGCTGTCACATCCTTCCTGTAGTGAGTTGACCAAAACTGCACACAGAACCATATTAGCGGTCCTCCGGTCCTCTGGTACTTACCTGTGGCCCGACAGGAATTAAAAATTTGTGTCAGAGTTCCTGCAATTTCCGGCCTCACTTCCCCCAGCAGCCTGGGATGCAGTTCATCGGGGCAGGGATTTGTCCATTTTTAAGCCTGACAGGAACTCCAATACCTCCCCATTTCCTATGTCAAACTGTGCAAGTTGCTCACAGTCCATTTTCTTGAATTCCATACCCATGTTCTCCTTTTCCGGAGTGAAGACCAAAGAGACGTATTCATTCAACACCCTTCTAATATGCTGCATCTTCTCACACAGGTTGCCCATTGGTCCCTAATGGGCCCTACACTTCCCTGGTTAGCCTCTTCCCTTTAATGTTTTCATAAAATATCTTAGGTTTCTCCCTAATTCTGTTTGCAAGTCCTTTTTCATGCCTCTTTTAAGCTCTTCTAATTGCTTTCTTAAGCTCCCTCCTACACTTCTTGTATTCCTGTAGGGCCGCAGCTGAATCGCTCCCTTTGGACTTGCTAAAAGCCCGACTCTTCCTCATCAAGTTCTGAATTGTCCTAGACATCCAGGGTTCTCTTAACTTATTGGTCTCACATTTGCCAGTACATGTTGGAACCTGTACTCTCCTCAGCTCCTTTTTGAATGCCCCTCCATTGCTCCACTGTACTTACCCACAAAGAGCTGTTCCCAGTCTTACTGTGGCGAGGTCCTGCTTTATTTTAATAAAGTCAGCCTTCCCCCCATCCAAAGCTGTCTTTTGCAGGTCATCTTTTTCGTCGTCCAGAACAAATTTGAACTGTACTGTGTTGCGGTTGCTTTCATTGAAATGTTCCCCCACTGCCACATCAAACACTTGGCCAGCTTCTTTCCCCAGAACCAGATCTAGCACTGCTCTGTTCCTTGTTGGGCCTTCTATGTATTGATACAAAAAACTCCCGTGGATACATTTCAAGAAACCCAACCCCCGCTAAACCCTTAACACTATGACTATCCCAATTTATGTTGGGCATATTGCAATTACTGAAGTATAATTACCCAATTATTTACTCTTACACACCCCTGTGAACTGTCTACATATTTGCTCCTCTTTTTCCCACTGACTGTTTGGGGACCTATAATAAATTCCCACTGAAGTAGCTACACCTTTAATGTTCCTAAGTTCTACCCACAAAGTGTCATTTAAAGATCCTTCCAAATGCTGGCCTTATTGCAGTAATTGACTCCTTAATTAATAGTGCTGCACCACCACCCTTTTTACACCCTCCTCTGCTTCACCTAAAGGTCCTGTAGCCCGGAATGTTAAGTTGCCAGTCCAGCCCTTCCCTCACTCATGTTTCTGTGATGGCAACAATATGATACTTCCATGTGTCAATCCACACCATTAACTCATCAGACTTACCTATTACACTTAAGTAAAGACCATCCAGCCTTGCCTTATTCTCTTGACACTCAACAAAGCTGAACTCACTCTGACTTTACTGTAGCATGATGTGTCTCTGTTTCACAGATATTCTGTGTCCCCTCCGCCTGCCAGACCATTTCAAACTGCAATAGAGTTGAATTTTCAAATAGGCGTGCTTCTGAATTCAACATGCACTTAAACATGCCTCAAAAGCTATAAAGAGCACGAGACAAAATTCCTTGAATCAGTCACATTTAAATAGCTTATTTGTGAAGTCCCTCAGCAAAAGTTATAACCTGATCAAAATTATACAAGATGGAATGGGTAAAAAGATTCACATTTCTTTGATGCTGGAATTATATGTTGAACTGGTTGTTCATCTGGTTTTTAAAAATATGGAAATCTTTTGGTTTGTCATCAATTTCCTCTCAGGGTTGATCACCTTTTTGCAGAAACAGTCTCCATTCAAAAGACAGAAATCCCTTCTTCTTGATGCCACTGGATATTACTCTAATTTTTGGCTGTGGTTTTTTTTGCCCCTGGAGCAAAAACTGCAGATTTATAAAGATGGTTTCTCACAGGAGGAGGTTTTTAGACTTGGCTGTTGGATCACAATGAAGACAATCAATTTTGTCAGACAGTTTTCAAGATTCATTCTCAGATATCCTTTGCTACTGAAATAGGGGTTTCAATCCTCCTCTGAATAACAAGTTTCAAATTCAAATTTCTGTTCCAGTAATAATGGTAGTCGAGAAGCCTCATCCCCAGAGACATTTGAAGACCTCAATGTGGGCTGAACATTCTTGGTGATGATTATTCATGGCCAGGTATTCACCTCTGGGATAATCTTTTCAGGCTGCTTTAGACAATCTAGCCATGCTATTTAGAAATTCCTTATTAAACTGTTGACAGCTTGGCTGTTTTCAGGTTAGGTGACTTTAGTAGCCATTTTGAAATGTCCCAGCTTATTTTGAATTATTTTACTCTGAAACCAAAGTCCAAGACTTTTAAATTACTTGATGAGATTTTACAGGCGAATAGTTTGTATTTTTTATTGTCAATAAAATGGAGAGCAGCCCTCATTGCAACCAAGAAAATGATTTCTCTTCACCCCAATAAAACAAAAAAATCTGTAAATTGTCAATCATTTAACTATAAAATGATCAATCTTTAAGCTTATAAATTGATTTTTCATTACTGAGCTTTTATTGCACTAATCCTAATGAAATTACAGATTTATTCCCCAATGAAATTCGTGATATAAAACTGACAGGATCCCAACCCCCATAATGCATTAACTTTCAGAAGAGGAAATATGATGCTGGATATTATTATATGGTGAATTGATGTTATTCAATCAGGAAATGAGTGAAGTTATTCACATGCATTATCTTCTTGTCCAACATCAAGTTGAATGTCTCCTTGAGTACATGTTGTAATTCTTCTTCAGTCAGCGTTTTGGAGGTTCTCACATCTGTTCCATCTTTCCCATTAAAGATCCTTTCAATGTAGGTTGTACCCTTCAGAATTTTAATGCCATTCTGGGTTTGATAACAAACATAGGATAATTCTTTAAACATGGCCCCAGGAGTTGTTATTAAATAGGTTAATTTGTCCTGAAAATCCTCAATTTTACAAGGCTTAAGGGCAAAACAAAACAGTTTTTGGTAGGCAGGATGGTTCTGCAGAGACTCACTGTTGTTGCTTTGACCTTCAATGTGAAGTTTCCTTACAGCTTTATCCATGTACCAGATATTGTTGTCTTCAGTCAGGCGGTATGTGCCCGGAAGCTGAGACTGTTCTTTGCCTGATACCAGCTCCAGTGGTTGTCGTGGTTGGTAGGATGATACAAAGCCCACGTCAACAACATAACTCTTAGAATCAATGGTGACTATGAGGATACAATGAGATGGGTAGGATTCGTAACAATCCTTTGCTGGTTTGTACAATCTTGCAGCTATAAACATCACTTTGTACCCCATCTCCTTTAGTACCCACCAGAATAAGCCATTATGTTCCACACAGCAGCCACCTCGATGCTTCCTCACCACTTTATCAAAGATTGCTTCCACATTGACCTCAATTGTTTCTCCACAGTGTGGACTGAGATTTTCATAGGGAATAGATGTGAGATGGTTTTCAACTATTCTGCCTAGTGTCTCCAGGTCAGCTTTGTTGCAAGGTCCTGTGTAGCCAATTCGTGCAAAATATTCAGAAAGCTTCATCTTCTCTGTGATAAAGAAAATAAATTAGAACAGAAGACAGAAAGTCCAAATTGTATCCTGTCAAAAGCTAGCCACTGATTTATGACTTATTTATTTCTTCAATATTTTCTGACTCTTTACCTGTTTACTTATGGCTAATCTTCTGCCTACCGCACCCCCCATCCCATCATGGTCTGTTTCAGCCATGATCTGGGTCAGTAACACTGCTTCTGTTGATTCATAGTGCTAGAGGGACCAACCAGGATCTGTTCTCTCTCAGTATTAAGTGTTAGAAATGCTAACTTTTCAATTATTTAAGAAAACACCCTTGCACTGAGGTAGAGAAAGAAAAGAAACATGTTGCTCTGAGTACTAGAAGCGAGGCAACAAGCCAGGAATAATTGAAAGGAAATGGGACAAAAGAATTTCAGCTACTGTGCAATGCCAAGAATCTCAAAATCAACTGTTCAAATACTAACCCAATATAAAGACTGCAATATTCCACAACATATTCTTCACAAACAACCCAGCAACTGATCCTTATATCTCAACTTTTATCTTGGTTTGGACTCACTTCTCTTTTCTGATCTGTGTATATTAGAGTTGCGTATTCATTTCTCACATTTAGTCATTAATAAACTCACTCTTTCTTTAATCAAGAAAGTCTGCTTAAATTGGCCCTTTTTAAACATTTTTTTTCGGTCTGGGAGAAAAGGTACCCTTTTCAAGACAGTCAAGACACTATCAACGTTGAGGTCCTGCTTTTTAATTTGGTCTTGAACTTCTGAAATTCTCTTGGCAAAACATCATTCTCAGTTCTAATTACAACTTTTTTTTAATGTGGACACAATGACTTGATCTGAACCTTCTTGCCCAATGTTCACCTCCAGACGAGGGGATGCTTTTCAGCCTGGCATCACACAGACAACAGTCAAAACTCTTGGTCCCAGCTGCAGAGAATAGTATCTATTTCCCTGTCTATACAATCATCCATCACTGCTATATTCCTTTCCAATCCCTTCACTCTGCTGACATCTGACACCACAGACGACAAAGCAGAGTATTAGTTAAACTGAGAACGACTGCAGAATTCTAAGGATCCAAGTGTTTGGGTGCATGAGTCATAATAAGTTAGAATGCAGGTGTAGCATATAATCAAAAAGTGTACTGAGATACTATGCTTTATTATCAGAGGAATTGAATATAAAATAATAAAATAAATTATGCTGCAATTTTACAGGCACTGGTGACATCACATAAATCATAGAATCCATACTCTGTGGAAACAGGCCATTCAGCCCAAATCCACACGAACTCACCCCCAAGTAACCCTACATTTCCATGGCTAAACCACTTAACCTACACATCCCTGGACACTATGGACAACTTAGCATAGTCAATCCAACTATCCTGCACATCTTTAGACTGTGAGTGGAAACCATGGCATCTGCAGGAAACCCACACAGACACAGGGAGAACATGTAAACTCTACACAGTCACCTGAGGCTGGAATTGAACCTCGGTCCCTGGCACTATGAGGTAGCAGTGCTAACCACTGAGCCACCATGCCGCCCCATCTTGAATACTATGTGCAGTTTTACTCTCCTTATTTAATGAACGAGGTAAATGTACCAGAATAAAAAATAAAAAACAAAGAACCATGGTTCCCCATGGTAGGCTATTGCAGAAAATACGGAGGCATGGGATTGAGGGTGATTTAGCGGTTTGGATCAGAAATTGGCTGGCTGTAAGAAGACAGAGGGTGGTGGTTGATGGGAAATGTTCATCCTGGAGTTCAGTTACTAGTGGTGTACCTCAAGGATCTGTTTTGGGGCCACTGCTGTTTGTCATTTTTTTAAATGACCTGGATGGGGGCGTAGAAGGATGGGTTAGTAAATTTGCGGATGACACCAAAGTCGGTGGAGTTGTGGATAGTGCGGAAGGATGTTGCAGGTTACAGAGGGACATAGATAAGCTGCAGAGCTGGGCTGAGAAGTGGCAAATGGAGTTTAATGTGGAAAAGTGTGAGGTGATTCACTTTGGAAGGAGTAACAGAGTACTGGGCTAATGGTAAGATTCTTGGTAGTGTGCATGAGCAGAGAGATCTCGGTGTCCATGTGCATAGATCACTGAAAGTTGCCACCCAGGTTGATAGCGTTGTTAAGAAGGCATACGGTGTGTTAGGTTTTATTGGTAGAAGGATGGAGTTTCGGAGCCATGAGGTCATGTTGCAGCTGTACAAAACTCTGGTGCGGCCGCACTTGGAGTATTGCGTACGGTTCTGGTCACCGCATTATAGGAAGGATGTGAAAGCATTGGAAAGGGTGCAGAGGAGATTTACCAGGATGTTGCCTGGTATGGAGGGAAGGTCTTATGAGGAAAGGCTGAGGGACTTGAGGCTGTTTTCGTTAGAGAGAAGAAGGTTAAGAGGTGACTTAATAGAGACATACAAGATGATCAAAGGATTAGATAGGGTGGACAGTGGGAGCCTTTTTCCTCGGATGGTGATGGCTAGCACGAGGGGACATAGCTTTAAATTGAGGGGTGATAGATATAGGACAGACGTCAGAGGTAGGTTCTTTCCTCAGAGAGTAGTAAGGACGTGGAATGCCCTGCCTGCAAAAGTAGTAGAGTCACCAACTTTAAGGGCATTTAAATGGTCATTGGATAAACGTATGGATGATAATGGAATAGTTTCGGTTAGATGGGCTTCAGATTGGTTTCACAGGTTGGCGCAACATCGAGGGCTGAAGGGCCTGTACTGCGCTGTAATGTTCTATGTTCTATGTTCTAACCCAGGGGTGGTTTACTGAATTAATACCTGGAATGAGTGGACTATCTCATGCAGTTAGGTGCAGTCTGGGCTTGTTTCCAGTGGAATTTAGAAGAGTGAACAATGTCTTATTTAAAGTGTACAAGATTGATATGGTGGACATAGAAAGGATATTTCGTCTTGTAGATGAGTCCAGATCTCGAGGCCACTGTTTAAGAAGTACAGGTTGCCTTTTTACGACAGAGGTGAAGAGAATTTTTCTTCTCGCTGAGGGTTGTGTAACTTTGGGTTTCTCTGCTACTGAAGACAGTGGAGGTAAGGGCAATTAATATTTTAAGACAGTCATGGCTGGATTTTTCTTACACAAAGGAATCAAAGGTGATGAGATGTAAATTGGAATGTGGAATTGGGAACACAAACAGATCATCCATGATCTTATTGAAAAGTAGCGCAGGTTTAAAGGGCCGAATGGTCTACTCCTAACTTGTATGTTCATGTAAAAGAACATACTGCTCCTGTTGTTTCTAAATTTTTATATACAACTTGACCAGTATCTTTCGAAGCAGAATCTACAAAGCTCGGCATCCTCATTCTCCTGAAAATATCTTCAGTGCTTCCTCTGATATACAACCTTCAAATAGCTCCTGTATTTCACTGACTAATTCCTGTCTCTGACATAGCAAACAGGTCAAGCAGACACCATTCTACCTATGTCATTGCTCAAAAGATATGTTGTCAGAGCTTTTCATCTTGTAATCATCAGGACAATTTGCAAGACAAAAAGCTTTACAAATGAGCAAGCAACATTTAAACCATTGGGGACGAGTGTGGTAATTGGCTGATAAATGGACTCTGACTGGTAAAGGTATTGCCAGGGACAATGCACTAGTCTATGATGATTGGCAGATTTGTTTAAGTTTTAAATAAGCCCAGTTGAATCCAATTCATCAATTGATCAAGGCATTCGGGTCTAGGCCCGAAACGTCAGCCTTCCTGCTCCTATGATGCTGTTTGGTCTGCTGTGTTCATCCAGCTCTACACCTTGTCATCCTTTTGAGAGGTGAACTAGCATATGGCTGACGTCTGTTTTGTTGAGTTAAAATAGGCACACGTGTCTTTCTGTCTTGTAAGATCTTGCAGCAATTTATGTAGCTTCTAGTACATGCAAGCATGCAAACCTGCAAGCCCAAATGACAAACCTAAATTACTTGTTTGCATACTCACTTATTCAGTAAATGTTGTCCAATTGTGGAATCACGTCTAATGTTGGAATTCAGTGCAAGCTGATTGGGTTTGATTGGTACCCTCTGTGTTTGGAACAGCTGGAGGCACATGCTCTTTGATTCAATCTGCCAGTCTTTGGGACATGTGACCTACATAGCCTCTATGCCATGAGATTCGTCTTTAGAGCAATAACCATTTGTGGACAAATGCTTCTGGAAATCCAAGTGCAGTGCACTCACAGTTTTCCCTTTATCCACAGTAAATGTTACTCCTCAAAATGATCAATTCCAACACCTTCCTCATGAAAAGCGTAGAGTTAACTCACCTGTAGTTTCCTATTTTCTGCTGTCTTCCCCTCTTTGAATAATACTTCCCATTCTCTAGTCTAATAGAGCATTTCCAGAATCTGGTGAATTTGGGAAAATTTGCATCAATGCATTTCCACCTTCATTAAGCACCAGTTTCAACACCCTTGAGGTCCGTTAGATTTAGGGACTTAGGAGTTCACAGCTCCAATTGTTTGCTCAGTAACGCTTCCCCAATGATTGGTAATTTCACCAAGTTTCCCTTTTCCTTTCATCTCCGGTTATATCGATATTAGTACTGGAAGTACCAGACAAAGAATTGTACTCTATAGGTCGTATCCTATGTCTGTCTTCTGAGGAGGCCATTGCAGTTTTTCGCTGTGGCATGTTGGAACTGGCAATTGATGAGTTGAGAATCATCTCCTGTCCTTATGAGGGCGTGGAGGTGCTACTGTTGGACTGGGGCGGGCCAAGTCAGATGTCACAGGACACCTGGCTATAGTCCAACAGGTTTCTTTGAAATCACAAGCTTTCAAAGCGTAGCCCCTTCATCAGGCCAAATGAGATAGAACCACACAGACACAGAATTTATACACAGAGATCAAGGGCAGAGGGATCATACAAATGGTGTGAGTGGAGTATTGAATAATACCTCTCTGCAGGTGATCAAAAGTGTCAGACAGTGTGAGTACAATGCCAACATCTGAATAACAAGTGAAGCGCTGACCTACAATCTGATTAATTGAGGCAGAGATAATTACAAAAAATTAAAAATAAGGTGGTGCTGGAGACAAACCAAATGACTGGAATAACATGACAGGCATAAGAGTCACATGCCGAGGGTCTTACCAAAGTAACAAGTAATCCAAAACTGAACAAACTAATTAAGGTAGAGAGATCATAAGTTATTAAGGTGATGGCGTTAAAACAGGACAGTAAGGAAGTATGGTGGGGTCACATGTAGTGGGAGATGAATCTAAGATCACGGTCTCAACGTGTCTTCGTGTGTACAGAACTTAGCTATCAGTTTCTACTCGGCGATTCTGTGTTGTTGTATATCTTGAAGGCTGCCTTGGAGACGCTTACCCAAAGATTGGAGGCTGAACGTTCTTGACCGCTAAAGTGTTCCCCAACTTAGAAGGAACATTCCTGTCTGGCAATTGTTGTGCAGTGTCCACTCATCAGTTGTTGTAGCTTCTGAATGGTCTTGCCAATATACCATGCCTCGGGGCATCCTTGCCTGCAGCATATGAGATTGACAACATTGGGCGAGTCACACAATTATCTGCCGTGTACACAGTGGGTGGTGTTCCCACGTGTGATAGCACTGTCCACGTCAATGATCTGACATGTCTTGCAGAGGTTGACATGGCAAGGTCGTGTGGTGTTGCAGTCGATGTTGTCCTGAAGGCTGTGTAGTTTGCTGCAAACAATGGTCTGTTTAAGTTTTAGTGGTTGTTTGAAGGCGAGAAGTGGAGGTTTGGAGATGATCTTGGTGAGATGTTCATCATCATTGATGTTGTGTTGATGGCTGCGAAGAACATAACGTAGTCTCTCCGCTCCAGGGAAATACCAGATGAAGAAGTGTACTCTAACGATCGTATCCCATGTCTGTCTTCTGAGGAGGTCATCGCAGTTTTTCACTGTGGCGTGTTGGAACTGGCAATCGAGGATTTGAGAATCATATCCCATTCTTAAGAGGGCATCCTTCAAAATCTTTAGGTGCCTGTCGCATTCCTCCTTATCTGAGCAAATCCTGTGTATGCGCAGGGCTTAACCGTAGGGGATGGCTTCTTTAATATGTTAATGGTGGAAGCTATAGATGTGCAGCGTCATGTGATTTTCTGTGGTTCCACTTGCGGTGGAGTGAGGTACTGAGGTGTCTGTCGCTGATGGAGATGTGTGTGTCCAAGAATGAGACTGATTCTGAAGAGTAGCCCATGGTAAGTCTGATGGTGGGATGAAACTTGTTGATATCACTATGTAGTGTTTCAGTGATTGCTCGTCATGAGTCCAAAGGAAGAAAGTGTCATCAATATAACTAGTGTATGGCATTGGTGAAAGATCCTGTGCAACAAAGAAGTCTTGCTCAAAAGTATGCATGAAAATGTTGGCATATTGGGGTGCACATTTGGTCCCCATGGCTGTTCCATGTGCTAGGATAAAGAACTAGTTGAAGGGGAAGACAATGTGGTCAAGGATGAAGAGGATGAGTTGTAGGATGGCGTCTGGAAATTGGCACTTGTTACTATTGAGTACTGAGGCTGTTGCAGGGATGTCATCATTGTAGGGGATGCTGGTGTAGAGTGCCGAAACATCCATTGTGAAAAGGAATGTTCCTGGTTCGGTTGGTCTGTGGGTGCTGAGTTTCTGTAAGAAATCTATAGTATTTCAACAGAAGCTGGGGAGTTCCTTGTACAATGGTTTTCAAGATGCCCCAGACATAGCCAGAGATGTTCTCACACAGGGTCCCATTGCCTGATACTTCAGACTTTATAGAGGTTAGTGGAATATCTTTTGTATCCTCAAAGTGTGCTGTCAATTTATTTACTTTGTTATGCACATTTGGATACAGAGTCTTTGGCTTGTTCTTTTTGTTATCTTTGTGAAATCTAGTCTTGAATGGTGGTATAGTCTTAGGCTATTCTCCATGTTCCTTCTTGCTAATCTCTGACTTTAATTTACCACATGATTATTTTGATTTCTTGCCTTGGCACTACCCCTTGATTTGATACATTTACACAGTTTGATCCCTCTCCCCAACTGTTCATCTTGAAGCCCTTTCTACTTCCACATCAGTCCCAACAGAGTTCAGGTAAAGACCTTCACAACAGAATCACCCCTATTCCCCTCCTAACAGTACTGATGCCAGTGCCCCATGAATGGAACCCACCAGTCCTTGAGCCACATATTAAGTTCACAAGTTTTGTGAGCCCACTGCTAATTGGCTCATGGCTCAGGTAGTTGACCAGAAATCATTAGCCTCAAGATTTTGATCTTCAATTTGGTGCCTGGGTCCTCATTCAGTCTAATCAGAACCTTTTTCCTAATCATAGAATCACTCAGCACTGAAGCTGCTTTTTGGTCTATTGAGTCTGCACCTACAAAGAAAAAGGCTCTAAATCTACACTCGACCCACTTTCCAGTGCTTGACTCATTGCCTTAAATTTTTAACATTAAGTGCTCATCCAAGTACTTTTTCAGGATTGTGAGGTTTCCTGTCTCAAATACCATCCCAGGCAGTACATTCTAGATCCTCACCACCCTCTGGGTGGAAAAGCTTTTCCTCAAATTCCTTCAAAACCTCCTGCCTTTCACCTTAAAATGATACCCCTTTGTTACTGACCCTCCAAATAAGGGTCACAGCTGCTTTCTATTCACCCTATCCATTGTCCCCCTTATAATCTTAAACATTTCTATCATGCTCCTCTCACCTTCTCTGCTCCAAAGAAAACAACCCAAGTTTATCCAGCTCTGTTCATAACTGAAATGCCCCAACCTAGATATCATCCTGATGACAGTCTCCTCTGCATCGCCTGTACTACAATCACATCCTTCCTGTAGTGCAGTGACCAGAACTACACACAGTGCTCCAGCTCTGGCCTAACCAAAGTTCTGCACAGTTCCAACATGACCTTCCTGCTCTTATAATCTGTGCCATGGCAGATAAAGTCAAGTGCCCTGTATCCCTTCATAATTACCTTATTAACATGCCCTGCCACATTCAGGGATTTGTTGTCAAGCAGCTCAAGATCTCTCTGTTCCTCTGAGTTTCCTAGTGTGTTGCCATTCACTGAGTTCTCCCTTGTTTTGTTAGTTTTTCCAAAGTGCATCACATGACACTTATCTGGGTTAAATTCCACCTGTCACTGGTCAATCCATTTACATCATCCTGCAACCTAAGACCTTCCTTCTCACTGTCAACAATGTGGCAAATCTTTATCATTTGGAAGCTTTTTTTTCCTTTATTCATTCACAGGACGAAGTTATTGCTGGCTAGGCAGCATTTATTGCCCGTCCATAATTGCCCAGAGGGCAGTTAAGAGTCAACCACATTGCTGTGGGTCTGGAGTCACATGTAGACCAGAGCAGGTAAGGATGGCAGTTTCCTTCCCTAAAGGACATTCGTGAACCAGATGGGCTTTTCCAACAATCAATAATGGATTCATGGTCATCATTAGATTCTTAATTCCAGATATTTTATTGAATTCAAATTCCGCCATCTGCCATGGCGGGATTCGAACCTGGGTCCCCAGAACATTATCTGGGTCTCTGGATTAACAGTCCAGCAATAATACCACTAGGCCATCGCCTCCCTACACTCACTTCCATATGGTTGACATATATCAAGAACAACAAGGGACCCTGCATTGATCCCGGTGGACAATAACCAATAGTCACAGACTTTTACCACCACCCCATGTCTCCTACCACTAAGCCAAATGGATAGTCGTGCCTGAGTCTGTCTTTGGTATGTACAGTCTGTGCTCTTGATTCTAGTTTTATATAAAAATGTCATCAGAACTAGGATTGGTCTTATCACCACTCACCTGTGTCTCAGTGATTCTTCCGGCACTTCAATTACTTCCTGTCCTGTCGATAGAAAAGCACCAGTGAGTTCTGGATTTCAGAAATTCAGTTTCATCAGCAGTGTCACCTAGCACAGTGATGAAATGTCTGAACAAAAACAAGCCAGCTCGGTGAGCAAGTCAACAACCTCATTCAGTTTCATCCAGTTAGAAAACGGAGCTTTTGAATTACAAATAGATAGGCACAAGGAGGGAGTGTTTAACAAAATCCTGCACCTGAATTCTGTTTTCAATTTTGTTTGTGAAATTTGGTTGACAAATGAGCCAGACATTTAGCAATTTTTAAAATCAAACACCCCAGGTCAGGTCAGAAACAAGCAGGAGACATCTCAGTAACCCTAAAACCAATCGCACAGATAAATTGAGACAACTGCAGTTTATTGCATACAGGAACCCTTCAAACTGCACAGCACTATGCGACCTTCCCCCAGTTAATGATTACTCATTCAGCCCTGGCGTCTCTGTTTGGCTTTTTAACTTATTTTGCGATTTAAAAAAAAGTTTGCTCGGCAAATAAACTTGGCATTTTAGAAATAGTTCCACCATATAGCCCGGAGAACGTCACATTGGATGTTTTACCAACACATTAAAGCTGGTGTTGCATGAAGTTCTATGCAATATGCTGTAATACAGTGACAAAAGAGCTTTCGAAGCACTGACAGAGACAGGGATAGAGCAGCATTGTAAACAACTCCAAATTCCGATACCTGAATTCTGTATTCACTTGTTTTAGTGCAATGTCAGAAGTCACACAATACCAGGTTATACTATCCAGCAGGTTTATTTGAAATCACTCAGAGACAGTAACTGGAGTCAGAGATAACACAGTGTGGAGCTGGAGGAGCACAACAGGCCAACTCTCCCCACCCCCCGGCCTCATCCCACGACCAACCCTCCCTCTCATCCCTGCCTCTTTGACCTGGCACAACCTATCCGTCTTCTCTCCCACCTATCCGCTCCTCACACCTCACTGAACAATCCCCACCACTGCCTACCTGCACTCACGTGTCACCATCCCACCGACCTTCCCCAGCCACACCCCTCCTCTCTCTGTTTATTTCGGAGCTCCCTTCCCCCTCCCCATTTCTGAAGAAGGGTCCCGACCCGAAACGTCAATTTTCCTGATGCTGCCTGGCCTGCTGTGCTCTTCCAGCACCACACTGTGTTATTTGAAATCACACAAGCTTTGGGAGTGCAGCCCCTTCGTCAGGTACAGAGAGAGAGGAGAGCACAAGAGTTTATAGGCAGAGAGATCAAAGATTATACAACTGGTGTGAGTGGAGTGTCAGATAATAAGTCTCTCCAGGTGGCCAAGAGAGTTATACAGTGAGTAAAATGTTCATAAAGCTATTGTCAGTGCTGTGTTTCCATGACAATTGGGCAAAGTGTTAGGAATGTACAAAAGGTGACATCTCGGGGTCAGACACTGAATTGTGGGTGTGAGGCCTTGTTCAGAATCTGTCTCAGAGTTTTAACCTGCAGTCAGGCTGGTTTTATTCCGAAAGCAGGAATTTGTAAGATATCACACTGACCGACTACAAATTGTGTTTTTTCAACAAAATTGCATGTATCTGCAAATAAACAAACATCTT